TATAACAGAGTGAGATAGGACATCTTAATGACTGCACTGAGGGAGGAGGTCAATCCATGGCTCGTGAATTGGGTTGCAGCTGTCCTGTATTCACGTCGAGTTGCTCTCCGACTGGGCTCATGGACCTCTGAACCATGCACTTTGGCCCCAGGACTGCCACAGGGATCCGCCATCTCGCCTGTGCTCTTCAACGTGTATATGAGCAAGATTGCAAGCCTAGAAGCACCAGGAGTTGGAAGGATACTGACTTTTGCAGATGATATACTTGCATATAGGCAGGGGGAAGAGAGGGAACAAACAAGACAAAGTGACTGAGTGGTGTACAGAAATGAAGGCTATTGTCCACCTGGAAAAGGCGTCTGTTTTGTGGTGTTCTCTGGACAACAGAATTGTTAAAACTAATGTCCCAAGTCTCACGATAGATGGTAGAGACGTCAACAGAGAGAGCAAACTGAAGTATCTGGGAATTACATTTGACAGGGGCCTGTAATTTAAGGACCATGTGGAGAGAGTTGTGACGAGATGCCAAAAGGACTTAGTGCACTTAAGACTGTGGCTGCAATTGACATAGAGCAGAGAATGCTTTTCACACTATATCAGCACCTGATCCTGTCAGTGGTGGATTATGGCCTGGGACTGCTTACCGTCTCAAAGAGTCAGATGGACAAACTAGAGCGCCTACAGAATTCGGCTGTGCCGGTCATTCTGGGTTGCACCAGAGACACCCCAGTGCTGTTTATGCGATACATCCTTGGTTTGCCGACGGTTGCAGGTAGGCACAAGGTGATGCAGGCGAAGTCATATCTCAGGGTAGCTGCAGACACAGACCACCCTCTGCATGAAGCTCTGGGTGCAGTTAAGGGTCAGCGGCTGATAAGAGGGAGGTCATGGATGGTTCAGGCAGAAGATACAATCAGACAGGTTTGCACCCTTGAGAACATTAGGCGAGGAGAGGAGTGGGTCAAAGTGCCACCTGAGCAGTGAGACGTGTAGTCATAATCACGCTGAGCTGTGAATGCAGAGACTGGCCAGCAGGTGCCAAAGAGGTGGAAATTCAGCAATTAATTCAAGATAATGCTCGCTCAGAGGATTTGATCATTTACACAGACGGTTCAGTGTCAAGAGGCAAAAGAAGTGCTTGGGGCTTTTTAGCTAAAGTTAATGGTCGACGTATGGTGCAGGAGAGCCTAGCATATGATACCACAACATCCAGCTTAAGAATGGAGGTGGAGGCGGTCACTGCAGCTTTCCGCTGGCTAGAGAACACAACACACATTGTAATTGTAACTGATTCAGAAAGCATGCTGAGGAAGATCAGAACAGGTATGCTTCGTGCAGAGTGGCATGCTTCACTGCGGAGGACACGAGTGAGGAGCATTGTCACACAGGTGTGTTGGGAAATGAACAGGCGGACAGACTGGCTGGCTCTGCACAACTTGGTAGAATACTGCTCCATGATAGGGCAGACGTGGTTAGTGCCTTGTGGGAGAGGGTGTACAATGCGGAGTAGCAGATGGATCACCAGTCTGGTGAGATTGATGCAGATGGGGGTGACGAGAAGTTCTGGCAGAAGCTCAAGGCTTAGAGGAAAGGCAAGATGGACGTTTAATTAGAAAGCTACTGGCACCATTAGTATCGGAACTCTTCGCTGGCTGCTGAAGATGGGGACGGAGCGCTTATGGGAATACCCCGAGTGCTGTGATGTCGGTTCTTGAATCAAATCAAACCCCTTAAAGTAGTTGGACATTCTTTCTATTCATTGCTACCTAACAGTTGAGAATCTCTGCCTCTCCTCTCTCTCTAGTCGGACATTCTTTCTTTCCCCTGCTACCTAACTGATTGGAATCTCTGCCTCCTCTTTCTCTCCCTCTCTCTAAGGAGTAGGATTTTCTTTCTCCCCTGCTACCTAACAGATCAGAATCTATGCCTCTCTGCTTTCTCTGTGTATGTCAGAGAGAGTGCATACAAATGGGTGTGGCCTTGTAAACAGCGGATGAAGATCAACAAAGAAAGATTCAATTAAAAAAAAAGTTTTGTTTTAATATTATGAAACAAAAAAGTGTAAACACGTAAATTGCCACACATTTATACATAACCACATATCCATAAACATGTATCCACATAACACAGGATTTGTATATTTCCTTACTCATGCAAACAAAGAGAACCTCGAGTCCTAGGGCTGTTCTGTTAACAGTTAAAAACACTGCATGGATACTTCAGCAGATCTTAGCCACGAGTGAGAGTCAGAGGAGCTGGTGGCACATTATATATGTCTACAGATGTTGCCTGCCAGGGCATTGATGTGGGTTTAATCTTCAGGAGAGGCAGGATTGGTTTTCTCTTCTTCATTCACTGACTGTAAACTCTGGCAAAATGTTCTGGTTGTTCATCCAAGTCTAGGGTTTTGTCTCATGTTAGAACATGTGTTTTACAAGTCTGGTTCATTTGTATGCAGACTGTTCAGTTCTCACCACTCAGGTGGGTGTACTCTGACTTCAAAGGCAGTACCACTATTTAGTCACATTTTTCGACATACTTGTTGCAGACAGTTGTTCTATTCTCCCTCTTCCCGAATGGGGCCTTAGAACCCACATGGAAGGATTTTTTTTTGCAATCTGTGTGGTTATTGGGTAAATCCAGCTTCATAAACATGTGTGCAAGAAAATTTGCAGGCAACTGTCAGGGAGGGAAAAATTATGGGGAAAAGAACTGGAAAGGACCAGTATTCGTCAATTACAATAACAGCGCCAGAATGACTATTAAAAAAAATGTGTCTGTGGCAGACCTTTCAAAATAAGAGGAGTTGCAGGTCTGGGCTAAATGGGAACCACTGACCAATATCAGTATAACAGAAATGATAAGAAAGGTTGTTCAGTTGTATCTGTTAAATCCTGTAACCATAAAATTGTTGAATTTTACGTGAATTAGTATAATCTTTATCCTGTACCTTCAACTCCCCCAGTGACATACAGGCCCTCAGCCAGCTGATGCCATGTCTTTCTATCCTTTATCATCTTGTGAGTTCCCTCCACATCCTCTGATTATTATTCATCTGTCTCTCTTCCATGTAAAGGATACTTCTCCACACTATGGGCGTATTGGGCCTGTAAGGCTGGACCTATATTTTATAGATGACGGTACTCTGTGGGTGATGCAGTCCACATCAAAGCATCCAGCTTTACTTACATTTACTGTGTATGCGATGCCAAAATCCTGGAGCAAGACCAAAGTCCAGAAGTGGACGAACCACCAGAACTTTCAGCTGGAGTTAACAGCCTGTAGACTCCAAAGAAAGAACTTTCTAGTTACACTAATAGAAGTCTGTTCACTGTGTCTGCCAGCATTGGTTCTGCATATGGCAACAAATAATCGCCCAGTTTGATATTTTGTATGATAGCAACTAATGATTACTCAATTATTATTACTATCTAAGCTGACTTACATTTTACTGAACCATCTTATATCACAATGCAAATGACAAATTTGTTTCTATCCGTGCAGTTTTATTTATTGCGCTGTTTTAAAACAACATATTCTCTCAAACAAGTAATACTAAGGTGTAACAAAAGAGTAAGGAGTGTAACAAATTATAAGAAAACACATTATGAGTTTATTTAGACTCTATATTTACCACCATCAACAACTGCCATTTGATTGTAGTGCACAATAACATGCATCTCTTTCTCTTGCCAACATTTATCAGTTTGTGATACTTACCCTAGCCATTAAAATGACTGTCAAGAAAAATTTCTTGTGCATCCTCTGTCATTCGTTTTGTTAATATGAAGTTGTCACATATTTTTTCTAAAAAATTAACAAACAATTCTCTTTGCACTCTGGCTTCTTTTACCAAATTTAGATTATGTATTTTGTCCAAGTTATTTTCTGCACTCTTGTATAAAAAAAAACTACATCACTGAGGCCTTGAGGGATTTGCCAGATGATTTTTCAGGAGTTTTATTCATCATTATTATCCCTGTTGTGCCATTTTACACAGGGCTCGCGGTCTATACCTCCATTCTGTTCTATCCTGTGCCGTCCCTTTGATATCATGGATGGGAAGGAATGCAGTCCAGCACCTTTGGCCTCTCTCCCTAACATTCATTTTAGGGTTTCTTATGAATTCCTCACTTCTATAATCCATTCATTTCCCATTGTAGTGCCTGTGATTCTCTGTTCATTTCCTCTCAGGATGTGCCAAATATAGCGCCATGTTTGTCTTTTAACTGTTGTTGTCATTGGCTGCCCAGATATTTCTCGTATTTCTTCACCCCTCCTGAATTCATCCCATTTTTATGTCCAACATTTTGCTCAGGCATTTGTTTTCAAATGCATTTAATTTTTATTCCATTTCTTTGAATTTGTATTAACCATAATAAAAAGAAATAAACAAAGACAACAGACTAAGCAACACAAAGAAGACAAAACAAAAGCATTCACTGCTATCTTCTCAACTTAAAAAGTTATTGAAAACTTTCAACTTTAAAACTGTCAACTTTATGTAATATTCAGATGACATATGCATTATTACTACAAGATGTAACAATTCAATAAGGTTTTACCTACGCTCTATAACATAATAATTTAAGAAAGATTTGTTTAGAAAAAGCAAAAAATATTACCTACACACAGCAAGATGTATGAATGTGCTTCAATAAATAAATCAGGCACCGACTCCACAATGAAGATTGGCCGGATTGGATCTCCAACATCTGACTTTCACCCTGGATATACACTCTCAGAAATGCTGTATGTCATCCTCCCACTTGTAAAACTATCTTGCTCACTTGCCTTAAACTTTTCCCTCCAGCATGGTTTCTTTTATTAGAGTGGTATGTTTTTAATATGGCCAAAATATTTTCTCTCTTTTTTTTTTTATATTTCATATCATTTGCTTATAATCTGTTAAAACATTCTAACTTGCCACAAACAGGTCGGAAATGTTCATGAAATGAAATGTGAACGATAAATAATGCAAACTTTTCAAAGATGACTGTTTAAGATTCTGCGCTGTAGTCTGGGTTCTTGCGGAGGATGACAAAACTTTCCATAATTGGAGTCAGGGGTATATCTAGGCAAAGACTTAAGGAAAACATCTTTATTCTCAAACACATCAAGCGGGCAAAATATATTAGTTAAGTCAAGAACTGACATCACAGCACTCTGGGGATTCCCATAAGTGCTCTGTCCCATTCTTCAACAGCTTGCACAGAGTTATAACACCAATGGTGCCAGTAGCACTCTGATTATACGTCTACCTTTCCTCTGAACATCGACCAGATCCCCCTCGTCACTTCCCACTGCATCACTCTAACCAGACCGTGGTGATCTATCCGCTTCTCCGAATTGTACACGCTCTTCCACAAGGCCCTAACTGCATCTGCCTTTTCATGCATCAGTATTACACCAAGTTGTGCACAGCCAGCCGGTCCGACTGTTCATTTCCCAACTCACCGGCATACCCCAGAGAAAATATCCAGACAATCCTCATCCGTGACATCAAAAGTGAAGCATGCTACTCTGCAATATATACATACACACAATCTGGCAGTATGCAGTACCAGCCTCTTTTGTTCCCCTTTTTGTTTTGGCATTATTTTTTTAGCAGACCTACTGCCAGACACTTTCTGGGGAGCACCAGCAGACTATGTACCGGTACCTTCCTCTCAACCCCTAGAAGAGTCATTTCTTTTATTAAATTTTTTTTTTTTTTTTTACAGAATAAAAAAAGCCCCAGACACAAGTTTATTAATTGTTTAATGTAAAGATATACCAGAGTAGGCTAAAGGAAATATTTTCTCAGTGCACTGCTACAGTGGCATTAAAGGCTAAGCATTTGGTAAATACTAGGATGGAGTGAGGCGACCCGTTGTATTTCTCATTCTCCTGCCACCACAGAGCAGTTCTGTATGTGGTGGCAACCCCAAACCATACAATAACCTTTGTCGCTACTTCAAAACTGAGAATATGTGTTTTGCGATGATTTTTGGCCACCCCTGTGAAAGGGTCATTTGACCCACAAAAGGGCCAGGTCGGGATTCACGTTGAGAACTGCATCTATTTCATAACTTAGTATTAATTTGTAAATAGATTTACCACAGGAACTTGCACAAAAGGGAGGGAAAAAAAACAGGAATTTTTCTTCTTCTTCGTGCTCACAGCCTGTACAGTTTTGGTTGTTCACCTGCTTCTGGACTTTGGTTCCAACTTGAGTTTTGCATGCACATCCATTTTTACAGTGCTGAATTATTTGTATGCAGATTATTGGTCTTCACCTCTCAAGCAGATGTACTCCGACTTTGAAGAATACACACACCCCTACCCAGTCAAATTTTACTACATATTTTGGAGAAAAAAAAAGGGGGGGGGGGAGGGGGGCCTTGGCTTTGCATCCTTTCCTTTTTCCTGAAAATGGGGTCCCAGAATCCATAGGGGGAAAGTGAAGAACTAATTGTCAATGTGGCACATGAATGACACAACAGTAATATTGCGTATATAGCGTGTAAGTAAACAGAAGAAAAAAGGAGAAAAGTGAAAAGGAGAGAGCAGAATAGGATAGACAAGCAACACCCGAAGCATCTGATGGTATATGTACACATATAAAACCAGATTTTTCACAACCAGTCAACAGCATATATAGGCAATTAAGCCTATGTGTTTGTTATGTGTACACTGTCCTTATCACAGCCTATATTTACCACTTTTGCGGTGTAAAGGTGGGGGGGGGGGGGGGGGCGGGCGTCTTTAAGCCCAGGGATTTAGGACTGCAAGGCTATGCTTTCAATGTCACAGGTGGACAGTCTTCAGAAGACAAGGAAAATAGTCAAGACAGAAATGACATGTTTATGTTCTATACTAGGTGTAACGAGGAAAGATTGACTTAGGAATGATATCACGAGGAGAGTCGACACACAAACAATACTGAACTTTACAGGGAGACAACAAATCAAATGGTCTGGCCATGTAACAAGATTGGCAGCAGACAAGGCACCACAGAGAGCAATGCTTTACAAATACAGTGGTAACAGATCCAGAAGTTGACCGCAGAAATATCATAGACACTGAAAAGTAGTTTACATAAAGCAAACAGAAAGGGCCTGTTCAAGAGATCTCTTCCTGCCCTGATGCAGCGAGGCATTCCAGGAGTAGAGGGGAAAAAAAGAGGCTAGTGCAGTTGCCACAGACTGCAGGTCACGGTTAAATTTTTGTCCTAAACAGAAGAAGCCCGTAATATTACCGAGGATTCAAACCTGGGTCCCTCACATAAAAGTCTAGCAGTCCTAACCACTCAGCCAGCTGCTTTTTCGTATAAAACTGAAACCAAACTGAACAACAGTGTAAAAGGATACATTCTTCAGTTGCCAGCTCTGCCCTCTCTCCATAAGCCAACAGCACGGGGGTGGTATGTGTCTGGAAGCCTGTAATGGTCTTAGGCTTGCCTGCTTGGCCAACAACATCCACTGCCTGGGGAATGAAGACAAAAAGGGAAGTGAAAATGTGTGATCAACTTTCTTTTTAATAAAGAGATGGAAAATGCTAGCTTCTGTGCCTTCCAATGCTAGTTCTGTGCTACTGTGTTTGTTAATGTTAATCTCTATAATATGTCTTCCTATATGAGTTTTCATGACACTATGACTTCTAATATACCTAATGCGAGATCACAGCAGCTAGGTCTAAAAATCCATTAAGGAAAGACAAAGATAATGAGAATAAATCAGGCCAATAGTAATGTGGTTTCTCTTAATAGCAGCACCCCACTCCAAGATGTGGAGTCTTACACCTATTTGGGCAGCAATGTAGATAAAGATGGGGCGATAGAGATATTAAAATAAAAATACAAAAGGCAAGAGGAGCTTTCATAGCACTAGGGATTTTGTGGAGGTAAAAATAAATTAAAAGAAATACTAAACATAAAATGTTTAATTCTAATGTCAAATCAGTACTTCTGTATGGATCGGAAACATAAGAGAACAACTAAGGCAATTACTAATAAAATATAGACATTCATTAACCGGTGCCTGCGTAGAAAACAGGGAATTAAATGTAATTTAACTACATGGCACACTAAAACAAAAACAAACAATGTTACTATTTCAATTAAAATTGAACTTCTTCTTTTCTACTTTATTCACCGGCTGTAAGCTCTGGCGGAAATTCCTGGTTGTTCATCCATTCAGACTCTGGCTTTGTGTCATGTACATCCGCTTTACTGGTTTATTTGTGTGCAGTCGGTTGTTCCTTGCTGCTCAGGGAGATGCACTCTGACTTTGAACGAAGTCCCCCTCCCCCCATTAGTTGACTCCTACAACATGCTTGTTGGAGAGGCAGTGGGTCTATTCTTGTCTTCCTCACAATGGGACCCCAGAACCCCCAAGTGAAATGAAAAAAAAACCAAAAACATATACTGTAACTATACTGTTGTTTGTTTGCATTCACAGGCTGTAAACTCTGGTGGAAAGACCTGGTTGTAGTTCATTCTATTTATACTTTGGCTTTGTTCCAGGACCTAAGTTTTGTGTGTGCATCTGTTTTACATACAGAGCTTGCTTATTTGTATGCAGACTGTTGGTTCCTTGCCTCTCAGGTAGTTGCATTTTGACTTTGATTAGTCAACTCTTTTCTTACGACATGCTCTTTGGGGAGGCAGTGGGTCTATTCTTGCTTCCCCCCAATGGGTCCCCGGAACCCACACTGGGACTAACTATATGATTCACACAAAAAAGATCTAAATATCGAATATCATTTGAGGAGTACAAATGTCATGGAAAACACTGAACATCAATGATCTGAGACATGTGTTCCTCACCTGACCAACCCTGACAGTTGTGGGCAGGGGTCGTAGCTGCTCATCAAAAGTCACCAGCATTCTGGGCTGCATGGCAGATACCAAAGTGTACAGCATGTAGTGTGACTTGCCTAGGATAACTGTAGAGATGGGTGACAGTGAAAATTTAACATTTGGAGTTATCAGTATTTTTTTTTAAATGTTATTAAAAAATGACCCCATCAAATAATAAAATTTACACAAGGTCATCAAAACAGAACATGTTGGATGAGACGTATAAGAAATGGGGAAGGAAAACCAAGAAGAGAAGCACAGAACCAGTAAAAGATTTCCTAGAATGCTTTACAGCATAAACAGTAGGACAACATAAGAAATAAAAAATGGATAAATGAGTGAATTAAATGATGTATCACAAATTGAGATCACTGCATTCAGGGCATACTCTAAAATATACTCAAAATTTGGAGTTAAAAATCTACCCGAAGTATTTCAGGAGCCCCGTCGGTGCTACAGAGTTTTTGCACTGTGCTGAGATTCTTCGGACTCAGGTTTGAAGTAGAATGGAGCACTTATGGGTTACTACCCTTATGCCATGATGTTGATCCGTTGTTTAAATCTAAACCTAAACCATATATACTCTGTCCACGTCCTCAGCAGCCAAAGAAAGAGTTCCTAAACTGATGTTACCAGTTGCAACCTGATTAAAATCTGCCTGCCCTTTTATCAGTGTGTTGAAAACCATCCAACCCCTCTGCTCGCTCCGCACCAGTCTCCCGAAAACAGATGGGATGCTAGAGACAAACCATTATATTCTTTTTCGCATTCACTGGCTATAACTCCAGCAGAAAGTACTGGTTGTTCATCCACTCCTGGATTTCTGTCTTGACCCAGAACTTGAGTTTTGCGTGCATGTCCTTTTAACAGAGCTGACTTATTTTCACTCAGACTGCTGGCTCCTCGCCTCTTATGCAGATGCACTCTGACTTCAAAGGAAACACCCTTAATCAGTCAGCTTTCACAACATGCTAGTTAAGGGGTTAGTAGATCCAATTTGATGTAAGTGTGTGCTCTAAGTTCACAGTGTCCCGTACTGAGTCTGGAAACACATGTCAATTAAATGCATTTCACACATGCACAAACATGTAAATATGCACACAAACACACAGTATCTTACTATTTTTAACATCCAGACATGAAACCAGCATTGCTAACAAGCCGGCCACGGCTACAGGGGACATAAGTGTGCGGTCACTATGGTACGGGCTGAGCGTCAGTGTTCCCTTGCCAAGATGGGTTAGACCTTGAGCCAGGCGGACCACAAACAGGTTGTTGGGATCTTTAGCATGATAAACAGCCAACTGTCTCAACATGGCAGCCAAACGAGCATTATTGGTACCTGTAATATATATTTTTAAAAAATAATTTCACAAATAATTTTTTTTCCAACAACACACACACACACAAAAACACACACAAACGTGGATCATTTAGATATTTTTATAATAAAGCTCTACTGTCTTCTCCATCCCCCTTAAAACAAGGCACTTAGTATGTTGTGTTGTGGCTTATAGCTAGGGTATATTAGATTTTTTGGTTTAAAACATCCAATTTCAACAAACCCCTAACTGACATGCTTGTGTGTGTGTATGTGTATGTGTGTGTGTGTGGGGGGGGAGGGGGTTATTTAAGTAGTTTTCTTAATGCAAATGCTGAATTAAGAGTCGACATCATAGAACTTATGACACCTCCGTAAGCACTCTATCCTAATCTTAAGCAGCAAGCAAAGTGTTTAATTCTGATGGTACCAGTATCCGTTCGATTGTATATCCATCTCGCCTTTCCCTTGAGTTTCAAGCATCAGCCAGATCCCCAGGTGACCCCCCCGCAGCACCATTCTCCCCAGACCGTAATGATCTATCTGTGCCTCCACACTATCCACTCGCATCCTAACTAGATGCTATGATATTCTATGCCAGGCTTTGTTGTGCTAAGCGATATCCATTCGCTTTTGCTATGAACCCCCCGTGCAGTTCGTTGCCCCTCAACAGAGCCATCTGTATAGATATTAATCACTTAGGCGGGAACTGTCATGAATTATTAGATATCTAAATGCAGACCACACTCAAAACTAATTTTAAACAAGAGCGAATATAGCCATCTTTTTTGTAGACCAGTGGTTCCCAATTACTAACTTATGGAGTCCTTTACAGAATTAGTTTTGTGGCAGTCCGTTAGGCCTACCGTACACTATGTCTTACAAGATATTGGGTGTTTAAAGTAATGTTAAGAAGCATAGGAAGAAGAGGCAGATAATAAGAGAAATTAACATAAAGACTTATCTAAATAATTGCTCAATGTCCATGCAATGAAAATATACTTTAAAAACTTTGAAATTTGCCATAAAAGTCAATTTTTCTCAAATTAAAATGGATGATAAAGCCCAAGAGCAATAATGCCTGCCATAAGATATCACACCATCTTGTTTGAGAATACATGTAGAAGCAGTCACAGCAGCCTTCTGTCGGCTTGAGAATCAGCTGCACGCACATGCTGTGATTGCAAATGAATTTCAACGCATGCTAAGAAAGGTGGCGACAGGTATGCTCCGCCGAGTGGCATGCATGCGAATGTGTTGGAAAACAGACAGACAAACAGACTGGCTGGTTCTGCACTACTCAGTGATAAATTGATGGATGACAAGTTAGATGTCAAAGCGCTTTGGAAGCAATTGAACAGAAAAGAGGCACAATTAAATTATCATGGTCTGAAGAAAATGATGCAACATGGAGTAACTATGGGATCTGGCTGACACTCCCTACTCAGAGTAAAGGGAAGAAGCACATACAATCAGACTGGCACAAGTGGAATTCGAACTATTCACTGGCTGCTGAGGACGAAGACAGAGTGCTTATGGGAATGTCCTGAGTGCTGGGAAAAACTAAAATTTCTCAAATTATTACCAATACACATAACATTGTCAAAACATAGCTTATTTTTCTGAATCAGTCATAGAAGAGTACCTAGGAGGCACACAGGGGATCTAAACGCCCCCCCCCCCCCCCCCCTGGTACACATGAAAGCTTCTTGCCTCTCAGGCAGATGTACTCCTTTTTCAAAAGAAAATTTTATTAATTGAAAAAAAAAACTGTATTGGTTTGGCCATATGAGAATGAATCCAATGATGCCAGCAATGAGAGCGTACCACATGAAAGTAGAAACACTAAGAGGTAGGGACGATCAATAAAAAAGATGGAGTGAAGGGGTCACTGATATCTTGAGACTCCACAACATGCCGAACGCGCCCGAGCTGGGAAACCGATCATATGTTAACCCATGATGCCTAGTGACACAAAGCAGAAAATGGACATACACAAAAGATAAAGTAAAGAACCCACTTCCACTTTCTGGTAGGCTATTCTGTTACCATTCCTAAAGAAAGAAAAAAAGAATATTTACAGACACACTGACAGTCCAAGACTGCCCAAAATCACAGCATATCAAACAACTGTGCGTGCCTGGCTCGGATACCTATCACCTTTTAAATGCTACAGCTAATAGCAAAAAGCACATGCTGACAAAAGAGAAGGAAAAAAGAAGACATGAAGCCAAAACACTCACCTGCCCCCACAATGCCCATGGCCAGAATAGCATTGTGTGCCACCTCAGGATCACTGTCATGAGAGAACTTGCTGAGGGTGTCAAGAATGTTCAGTTTGGGGTTGGACACAGAAATGAGAGCCAGGGCCAGAGGTACAGCCCGCCTGATGGGAAGTTCACCGTAACGCAGCAGGTGGCCAAAGGCTCGGAACGACATCTCGCAGCCAACTTCTTCTCCCATGGCAATCAAACCAATACCCAAGACTGCAACACCTATGAAGTAAATAAGAGTGGATTTTAGTGAGAAAGAGTTGCATACCTTGTCGACTCACTTTCTCGCTGTATTCATCTAAGTACAGAGCCGTTTTGAGCGCAGGTGCAATTTGATGACAGAGGTGTGTTTGTGAGTAAATGTGCCTTTCTAAGCTAAAAATTCTATACAAAGTGTGCTGGTAGATGCCTTTTCATCCGTTAAACCATAGGCGGTTTCATCTACACAATCGAATGAACCAAGTCACTGCTAACCGTAGGAGGTTCCATACACACAAACCGCTAAATCCAGTCATTACATGCATGATAGGCAAATATATAACATACATTAAAAGCACAAGATAAAATAAACACTTATTTTTATATCAGGTGCCATGTCTGGAGCAGTGATCACATCTTATATGTTGCAAAACTAAAAGATAAATTCAAACAGCTGCAAAAAAAAAACTTCAAAATGTAAAAGTAAGCGAATTGTTCCAATTTCATCTTACAAACAGATTTGAAACATGTGAGGTGGAGGAAGATCAGAGCATGAGGACAAATGGAATGATATAAAGACCATAATTTTAGAATCAGCAACAATTACAGCAGCACAGACATTTGCAAACATGACTCTACAATTCTCTGTTTATCACCAAATATTCTGATGATGTTGCTGCTGAAATTGTTGTGTGTTATTCCTAGTTCTGTATTCCTCAGCCTCTCCCCCCCCCTCCCCCGCTGAAATTGTTATGTATTATCCCTAGTTTTGACTTTCCCAGCTATTTCTTTAAATTGTCCTAAATGCTCCAGTTTTTGGTAGCAGTACTGGAAACAGAACATCCATCAGTATGAACATCTGCAATATACTTTTTCAACACTTTCCTTCCTAATGGCCTCACAAAACATGTAGAGAAAGTTCAAAACCCTCTGCTTCATGTAAGAGTAGCATGCACTACTTTCAGAGGCAGCAGGCAGTATGCATCCTTTAGCTCTTCTTCTTCAGAGCACTTAGTATGTTGGGAAATGAACACGCAGAAGGACCGACAGGTTCTGCACCATTTGATGGTGAACTGATGCATAAGTATGATGATCAGATGTAGCCAAGCACTTTGAGAACCTGTGAACAGTGTGGAAGTGAGAATAGTAGTCATGGCTGCAAGAAAAGAGCGATGCAAATAGGAAAAGTCAGAGGATCTTGCCGACATTTAAAAGAAAGGTAAGATGGGCATATAATAAGACTCAAGAGACACTATTAGTACTGGAACGCTGAACTGACTGATAAAGATGGGAGAAGAGCTCTTATAGGAATGCTCCAAGGTCTGTAGTGTAAGTTTTAAACTCAAAATGTGTCTCCTTAACCTGGATTAAAAACTGTATATGTTAATAAAGATGTATTTATTATGAAAAAAAGCATATATTTTAGATACCCTGTGAATTTTAAATGCCATTAATTAATTGATTAATTCATTATACATAAATGATAAAATCTAATAACCTTGCTGAGTAGACAGATCAGGCCCACTTGGCTTCTCTTCCTCCTTCTTCTTATCTTCTTTATCTTTTTCCTTCTTTTTGTTCTTATCTTCCTTTTTCTCATTGTTGTCTGCGTCCTTGGACTCGTCATGTTCTGAGCAAACATGCAGGAGGTGCTGAATCTTCAAGACATTGCCAGTCCCTGCATAGGCTACCACATCAACCAGCATTGTCGCCATGGACCTCAGCGGCTCGGCCACCACTTCTAGGGCCATCAAGGTGGCATCTACAGAATCCTGTTTTCCTGTAAATGAGAGACGTACAGGATCAGTAGCATGTTTTACTGTGAAAAAAAATGTGTATTAGGTATGCAACTTTCTTTCCCCCAAGTATAAAGCACTTTTTTCCCCCAAAATAAAGGATCTAAAAAAAACAATGTGCGTCTTATACAATGACAGTAGATTTCTACCAAATGACTCTACAGGGTCTCATTTGTGACTGCCTGTTCAAAGGACACATAAAATTGGTATAAAATATTATAAAATTAAAAGTTTCTTCCCGCTGTAAAAGTTTTGGTGTCTGTCTTTGCTCTAAATCTGTCACACTTGTTACACTAGGTTAAGTTTTGCCATTGTCTCAGAAAAGACTTTCGTACAGTGCTGCATTCAAGTTAAAAGTAGGGCTGTACTGAATATTTGATTCGTATTCCCATCGGGGCCGAATAGTGGACCTATTGACTATGCGGTATTTGGCCGAATAGTTGCGGTCGGGCTGAATACGAATAGTAGTTACCTTACGCACGCTTCTGCATACACAGCCTTAATACTTGAGACGATTGGTTTTGTTGAAAGCTAATGCAACTTTCATGCATTAACTAAGCTGTCAGTGACAATTTCAAAGTTAAGTTACTTGTTATAATACTTAGGATTCTTTCATTCCTAGTTATTAATTACCACAGACTGACTGAAGGATGCAAAACATAAAATGTCTTTAAATGTTTACTATTCTGTACGAATACTAACTAGACATGGAAAGAATATAAACTCCAGCCACATCCAAGTCGATAATATGAGTATCAAATGAACAGAAACATATAAGTACTTTGGTGCAAACTTCAACTGCTCTAACATGCTGAGAGAAGAAATACAATCTAGAAATAAAGTATACTATGCCCTTAAAGATCTGCTAAAGTCAACGTGTCTGTCTCGCAACACCATGATCAAAATATATAAAACGTTGATAAGACCAGTCGTTTTATATGGCAATGAAATTTGAAGCAGAAAAAAAAATGAGGCCTTATTACTGGTTTTCGAAAACAGTCTTATGACAAATCTTTGGACCCATCAAAGATGCTAATAGCGGGGAATGGAGAGTGAGAAACAACAACGTAACACATAATCTGTTTAAATCACCATTGATCACTGGCATCATGAGAGCTAACAGACTAAAATGGTTGGGGTATATTGAAAGAATGTCAGAAGACAGAGAAGTAAAACTGTATACACCTAAGAGAGGAATGGGCATAGACCACAAGGCAGACAAAAAGAAGATCGAGAGATAATGTCCAGCCAGACCTGCAAACATATGGTGTCACAAATTGTGAAGAGAAGGCCAGCCAGAGAGATGGATGCAGCAGTAAACCTCAAGGGCTCAGAATACTATAGAAGAAGATGACTATTCTGTGCTACTTTATGTGAAGTACAAGTTTTTTTGTGTAGATATATTTTATACACAATACACTATTCGTATTCGGCCGAATAGTTTGTCCTGTTATTCATATTCGGCCGAATAGTGAAAATCACTATTCGGTACAGCCCTAGTTAAAAGTGACCCAGTTTGCAAAAGGGAATAGAAATGATGCTGCTGAATGTAAAGTGAATCCTCCTCCAACTCAGGAAACAATCAGAGACTGGCTACATGTGAATTTAGCATCTCGCGGTACAGATTCATTTCAATGTTACTTACCCAACATTGCAAGAGCAAGGCCCAGAGCCAGGTAACGAGAATATGTCTCCTTGAGTTCAGTTTCAGATCTTTCCATCATAGTCTGTAATATTGTGGATGTCACTTCTCCATTGCAAGTGCCCACGGAAATCATTCCACAAGCTAGGGCTGCAACACCAACCACCTGTTTGTAGGAAACAACAATGGAATCTTAGTGAGGAGAAAGGTAATTGCAAGATATTTTTCAGACACATACTCAGTTATGCTGAAGTAATGTGAGCTTCAGCTTCAGAGCAGAGCTATTCAGCTAACTTTATTCAGGGCGCAACATTTTGAAAATGGGAGTCGTTACGGGCCAAATGAACGAGTCCAATCAAAGAAAGATCAATATATACACTGCAAATGGCAATTCTTGTTCTTCTTCGCATTCACCAGCTGTATACTCCTCTGGCGGAAAGTTCTAGTTGTCCGTCCACTTCTGAACTGCAGTCTTGCTCAAGAACCTGAGTGTTGCATGTGCATCAGTTTTACAGATCTGATTCACTTGAATGCAGACTGTTGGTTCCTTGCCTCTCAGGCAGACGCACTCCGACTTCAAAGAAAGCTCCCCAATTAGTCGACTCTTACTACATACTTTTGGGTAGGCAGTGGGTCGATTCTTGTTTTCAGCACAATAGAGCCCCGGAACCCACACAGGGAACTAATGGCAATGATCAGCTGGCCACTTGATAGGCCTCCATGAGCCATATTCAGCCCACGGGCTGTTATTTGAATAGCCCTGCTTTAGAGGATGTGTGATGTGACAGTGATTAAAACATGCTAGATCATATAATTCTTGAGTGCATGAAGCAAGTGTCACTAAATTAACTAACAGCTGTTTAATTGTTGTGATAAAGTTTCAGGTTTTCTTCTTCACTTCTTTCACCATTCTGAGTGTCAAGGAAAAACATAAGGTTCTGCATCTTGCTCTTCTGGCCACCTCAACAACAGATACATCATGTTGCTGTAGTTTCTCTGATGTTATTTTCCCCCACTTGGTCTTGGTCTGTCTTGTGCTCACTGCCCCTCTCCTGTCTGTATAATGGTATATGCGGTATAAGTGTGCAGCTTATTTTTTTTTCTTTGTTATGTGCTTTAGTATTGGTTCTGTGACAACTTGTTTCTTATGACTTCATTCCTGATTTCTGATTACTTTAGAAGCCTTTCTCAGACATCTCATGTCCATTATCAATTTTCTTTGTCGTTCGTTGTGAGTGACCATGTCCATTTACATCTCAGTATTTCTGTGAGTAATTTACCCACTGCTGGCTTGCTAGGCCTGTCATATCTATGGGTAAAATTTATCACATTTTCAGGGAACCTCATCTTTCTCATGATTTTTCACATAAATGTTTTATGTAGAACTATATATTTCAAAAGCAATATTATCGGCATCTGTGGCTTAGGCACTGCAAACCACGTGACGATCTGACCTGAGCATATGAAACCTAATGCAAAGAAGAAGATCAGTGGCCCATTGGACATGTCACGATACTCATATTTTTTATAAACCAATCAGCACTTGTTGTGAGATGTGGTTAACATTATGCCGGGCATCTTTACCTCTCAGTACATTACCAGGTGCCTATGTAGGCTGGTCAACAAAAGTATTAAAGTATTATTATTTAAACCGCAGAAGAAACTTCAGAGACGCAAAATAAACCTAAAGATGCTACTCACCTCCATGTTGGCTTTGGAATCGCCCAAGACGGGAAGAATTAGACTTAGAACATCTTCTCGGTTGGAGCCTGCATAAGCCAGTCCCAAGCTGAAAAGTGAGACCATAAATGTCACATAAAATAGAACAAAGACTACTTAAAGACATAGAAACACTTTTGTGACATTATTTATATACTTTCAAATATAGTGTTCTGGGCAGACTGCAAATGAAAAGAGAATTACTAAAAGAAAAACAAATTTAAAAAACCGAAAATTAAAATACTTTGGCTACATTTAAAGACATAAAACTCATTAAAAAAAACCATACTGAGGGGAAAGGCTGAAGACTAGTAAGAGGTAGACAATGATACAACTAGGTGGAAAACATCAAGAGATGGACAAACAGCAGTCTAAGACAGTAGACTACCAAAACAAGAGTCAGAGTGTTTGAGATCTATTAGAGTTAACCTTCACTGCAGAGATGGCACCTGACTGAGTTAAATATTTGTGTGGACATTAGAAGATACTAGAACACTGCCAATTATTAAAACAAAACTTTACAGATCAGAATTAGAGATGAACAAAAAACAGTTAATGTTTTGAAACATTAACTAACTGCAAGAACATCTGAACAGGCTAAGTTCAATACGAAAATAAATATTACCAACAATGAAGAAATGCAGGTTAGCAGAATTCCTAGCCTGCTACATATCATGCAAGTTAAAAAAATTAAATATCTAGGAAGTACATTCTCGGAGGACAGGAGATAGAAACTAGATGCCAACGAGCCAGTGCACTTATATATCAATTGACACCATTACTGAGACATCCAAACATAAGTATGAGCGCCAAGAAACAGGTTATAAACAGTATATACATACCAACATTGTGCTACCATTGCCAGACTTGGACTTTACCAAAGGCTAACCTATATAAAATTAACCCGTGCGATAAGCCGCGGACTTAACCATCCGAGACAAAGTTAGAATGATATCAAACAGATTGTAGAAACCACATCATGCAGTAAATTCATTAAGAAACAGAAGATCAAATGGTTTGGTCATTTAGTAAGAACTCTGCCTGAACAACTACCAACGCAGGCGCTCCACGTGAACAGATCTGAAGTGAAAGTAAGAGGCCGCCATAGGAAAATATGGACGGATGCTAATATAGAATTTCTACATCAACGCGGAATGACGCAAACTATTCCTACGACACTTAATGGCAGAAGTGGAAATTGATGATGATGATGATGAAGATAGACAGACATCATCAAAGCAATTTTTAAAAAAAAAAAGTAAAGAAAGAGACGGATACATAAATGATAATCTTTGAAAACATGGAAAGTGACTACCTATTGGATAAAACAAATCAGCTGGAATGCAACAGCTAAAGAACTGTGCTAGCTGGGGAACTAAATGTGCAGCATAACTGATTTGTAATAACATCTCAGGGTCTGTAATGAATAAATGCTTTATAAGACAGTCTCTTCCCCCACTTTCTCTCTCATTCTACATCTGTATGTGTGTGTTGTAACCAAACATGACCCAAACTCGGTGAGCTCAACAAAGATACAGTGACTGTACGGGTTCAACCCACCCAAGAATGGCACCAATCCTCATGTAGGAGTTGTTGTGTGTCACGTGATCATACAACAAGGCAAGAGCTGGGTCACACTCGTTGCGTACTCCTGAGTTGACTATACCACAAGCCAGCAGAGCTCCAGCCTGGAAATATACAGTGCCAGGATTAAAGCAACGGACAGTATGACTTTGGTAAAAGAATAGTATGTAGCTTGTGTGAACAAAATGAGATGTAGCATGGAAGGTGTAAATAAAATGACATATAGCATGGCAGGTGTGAGCTAAATGACATGTAGCCCATGTGAAGAAATCCAAACGGGATCATCTATTTCTCAGTAGATACCGAAAAAAATGCATTGAAATGTGTTATCACTGACAGATTTACGGAAGCCGCATTGGCACTATGGCTCACTGCTTGCCTGCCTAAATCATCCAAATGGATTTTTATAACTTACTTTGCCTTTCAGCCTGACCAAGCCTAAAACTGGTACAAGGAAATGTTTTAGGAAGTTGAAGGCAGTTGGGGCGATGTAGACCACACCATGCATCAAATGTTGATTAGTCAATAAAAAATGTTGGTTTTCCACAAAAGACTTGGTGTTTTAACAAATTTGAGAAATAATGTTAAAAATTTTTTTTTAAGTTGTCTACCACCATATTACTAATATTCCAGGAAATTCAGTTCTTCCTCTTCATAGCACAAAGCCTATGCAGTATTGTAGAGATCATGTCTTACCCATGCATCATGATCCCTTGCTCAGCCTGTCTTGTTTATTCCAAAGGAAATGTAACACTAATACATTTATAACAAAGCACACTGCAGAAGCTGACAGATGAGAAGAATGACGCTGTCTGTCCGAATCTCAGAGCTTCCCTCCTAGATCAGCTGCCAGCTGAGATTAAGCCCCCCCCCCTCCCCAACCCCCTCTAAATAACACAAGGTTTTCAGGTTGCATTTTCTCCTTCTATATATAAGGCTAGTTCCCTCCCCAAGAAGCTGCTGGCACAGTGTGGTATGTCAGATTTGGTAAACGCCACCCAACATTAACAGAAAATAGGTAGTATGTAGTACTGCTGTATGATAGTTCAGTCAAATCTGACCAAGGACTGACTGCCAAAAGTCATAAATATGCAAGTGATGTTAACACACATTACAAAAGAATACACAGAACATGTGAACGCAAGAAACTTTGAATGTGACCTTAATGTAATCCTCTGAAGAGTACAGGAACTTGTCAATCTGCGTGAGACCCCCATCAACATCCCAGAGTAAAATCAAACCAAGGGAAGCGGTCGCACTCAGCATGCCTGAAACAGCAGAACACGGAAATAAAATGTCAATGTCATGTATCCACTGGTATGTTGGCTTTTTCGGGGAGTCTTCTTCTGCCTTTCTATCCCCCAATGGAGCATAGGCCCTCAACCAACTCACGCCAAGTCGTTCTATCCTTCGCCATTGCATGGAGCTCTCCCCATGTCCTCCCAATCTTTCTAACCTCGTTCTCCAGCTCTCTTCTCCATGTGTTTTTTGGCCTTCCTTTATTCCTATGCCCCTGTGGGTTCCAATGCAAAGACATTCAAGTAATGATGTTCTCCTGTTTTCTCAGTGTGTGCCCTATCCAACGCCAGCGTCTTTTCCTCACTTCCTGATCCACTGGAGCCTGTTTAGTTCTCTCCCAAAGTTCTACATTAGTTATTCTATCATACCATTTTATTCCCTCTATTCTGCGCAGGCACCAGTTAATGAATGTCTGTAATTTATTAGTAATTGCCTTGGTTGTTCTCCATGTTTCCGCCCCATACAATAGTACTGATTTGACATAAGAATTAAAAATTTTTTTTAGTATTTCTTTTAATTTCTTTTGACCTCCACAAATTCCCTAATGCTATGAAAGCCCCTCTTGCCTTTTGTATTCTTATTTTAATATTTCTATCAGTTCCTCCATCTTTATCTACATTACTGCCTAAATAGGTGTACGACTCCACGTCTTGGAGTGGGGTGCCATTAAGAGAAACCACATTACTATTTGCCTGATTTATTCTCATTATCTTTGTCTTTCCTTTATGGATTTTCAGACCAAGCTGCTTTGATCTCGCATTAAGTGTTTTGATTTTCGGGGAGTATGGGGGTTTAAATGCTGACAGATAATGAGGAAACAAATGACTCTTAAGAACAGTTACAATTGGAAGAAAGAGAGAGAAAAAAAAAGGGCAAGACAGGAAGAGCAATTAACAAAACTAATTTTCTTGGTCAAAGGTAAGGTAAGCAGTTATTTCTTTGCTCCATTTGTATTAGGTGATTGCTTGCCTTCATATTTATATTCTTTTTTAAAAAAAAGCTTTGGCTAAAATAATTTTATAAATAAGTAAAATACATCCTTTTAGTGACTTGGGGAAAGGAAAATTGCGTACGTTTTTCTGTCTGCTCCGTGATCATAGGTATGAGCACCCTGGATGTTTAGAAAAACTTATCAAGACTCCAAATTTCTTCTTTTCCTCCTCCAGCTTTGGGCAGAGTTTCGGAGATTTATAACAATGGCATTATTTTTATAGAAATTTTGAAGAAAAAATGTCCATGTTTAATGATTTTTACAGGACAAAATGGCTTACACACAGAATGAGAAAAAAAAAACACAAGAGGGGAAGAGCTATTGAATATTCAAGTGCCAAGAAGTAACAATCAAGTGGAATATAAAAGTTCACATGCCATGCTCCTTGTTCTTATACAGCCACTTGTGACCATCCTCCGGGGTGATCAGTTTGTCAGTACCAAAAGCTGCATTGACGAGACCGTTTACAAACGAAGCTGCCAAGTTCTGTCGGGCTGAGTCCAGGTTACTGGAGCCAATGGTGCTTCCTGCAACAGTGAAAAATGTATCCTGATTAATCATCTGTGTTAATAAGTGAAATTGTTTACACTTCTGGCCCAATATGACAGACAGCCAGATTAGCTCTGACGCTCTAAAAAGCTGTTTGTTTCTAGCAGGATTTGCTGATGCAAATTTCCCATTTCTGGACTAGGATTCCGAAGGTTCTATGGCCCAGCTACTGAGCTGGGTGCTTGGTATGACACTGTGAGCTGTGGATTTTATGTAGAATGTGTTTATGTGTTGTGCTGCAATGGCTTTGTGCTGTGGAAAAGCACAAAAAATGGCAGATGACCATTAACATTCGCAATACTGTTTATACAAAATAGGCTTTTGTAACTGTCTGATAGCAAAAATTTGTTGCCTGGGTTAGCCTTTCCTTGTTAGTTTCATGGGACATCCCACAGCCCTTTTATGTTATCTTTACCTTCTAGTCCACAGGTCGTGCCCCCCCCCCCCTCTCCCCATCAGGCCACCCCAAAGCAGCCACATAATGATGGCCAGCTCTCAAGAGAATGCAGGGACAGAACATGAGCATGTCTTCAACATCCAATGAGGCTTTTAAAAATGCAGAGAGCCAAAACATTTTCTCTGGTACTGGCCTCATCCAAAGAATCGTCACATCCTGCTCAGGACAGTTTAACCTCACTTCCATATATTGCCCATCTCAAGGACTGCATCTTTACAAGCCAACAAGAGGCAGCCTGCAAACCAGGAATTTTCTTTCCTTTTACTTACTTAGTACTTACTTACTTAGTCGCTCCTCTTCTACCTTGGGGTGTAGAGGTTTGCCAGAGAGATTGCCAGACATCTCTATCAGCAGTTTTCTTTCTGGCTATGTTCCATTCCAGTCCTCTGTCTGTCGGATGTTGTCTTCCCAATGCACCCTGGGTCGTCCTGGTTCCCTGGTTCTTAGCCTCCCATGCCTGCCATGGTGGCCGATTTTCTCCCATTTTGCATACATGTCCAAACCATTGTAACTGTGACTGATCCACTCGGGTTTGTAAGGACTAGGTTTCAAGATCTTGACGTATTGTCTGATTGCGGACTTTGTCCCTTCTTGTCACTTGGACCACCTTTCTCAGATATCTCATTTCCGAGGCCTGCAGCTGGCTTCTGTGAGCTGTTGTCATTGCCCATGACTCACACCCATAGGTCAGGACTGGTACATAGGTAGAGCGGTAAACAACCATTTTCGTCCTCTTGCCAATTTCTCTTTTGCTAAGAAACCCTCGGTTTATGGCCTGGAAGAGTCTCCCAGCAGCTGCTTTTTGTGTAGCCAGCTCAGTCTTAATGCCTCCATTTCGGTCTAATACAACTCCAAGGTATTTGAACTGGTTAACCTGCTCCAATGCATACTGTCCCATCATGATCTGGTGTTTCTTGGGATTTTCTTTACCAACACAAAATGAGTGCTTTGCCTCTTCTGCCTGTTGGACTTATTGTAGAAGTAGTCTTCCATGTCCACTATGTTCCTAAACTGCAACCACATCTTTCACACAGATTGCATAAGGGCATGCAGTGTGACAGCTTAAGGACAGATGGGTCTGTTTCATCTATTTTACAAAATGATCATGAAAAGATTCTCTCTCTCGTGATATTCTGATGAGCAGGCTTCAGTAGCACACACACACACACAAAAATTGTCCCGTGGGATTTTCACTTGGTTCCACTTTTAGTTCAACTAGAGATGAATCTTATTAGTTCAAATGTACTACAAACCACACAGATCCCAGTTTACAAAAAAAAAAAAAAAAAACATTGAGCTATAAATAACTTACTGTTACCTTCAACTAACAACAACCTGAGAGCTCAAGCTCCTTCTAATTATGTATAGAAATTCTCTATAGAAGTATTGTTTATACATTTCATATTATTTCAAAAATATATTTATTTGCTATTTAGCACAGTATTATTACCATGCTTCTAAACTAGGATTAGTCTCCCCCCCCCCCCTTTACCCACATTTTCTTTGTGTTGGTGCCCCTGCATGTACACAACATCTAACTTACTGTTTGGTTCCAGATGAGTCTTGTAAATATCTTCAGGAACTTTGGGATCCATGATATCTAACTGTGAAACAAACAAATAATCAAGTATTCATCATAGCAAGCAAATGTCTTCAATTTACAATCCTAGCTCTAAACCCAGGGCTGGGGATTCAGGGCTGCTGAACCACATGGTGCACCAGGGCACACACTGGTCAAGATCTATCTACACCTCTCTGGGGCCATCCTAAAATGAGGTTCCCAAAAGGAGCCTGGCCAACTTAGCTAAATCTATAAAACGGATGTGCACGAAACACTCAAGTCCAAGAACAAGACCAAAGTCCAGAACCCAAACGAATAACCCGAGTTTACAGCCAGTGAACACGAAGAAAAAATAAGATAAAGCGGGTTAAAACGGAACAATTTATGACAAACATCAGCAAGTGACAGTCATCATACGGCCACACTAGGAGAAGAGAAAAACTAGAACAAATGACAACAGAATATATTTATTGAAAGAGATATTACTGTTTTGAGCCTACCTTATGGACAGTGTAAATATTTCTGGCAGTCTATTTTCACAAACAAACAAATTAACTAAAGGACTCTTTTAATGTCTTCTGGCGTCTCAGGCATATAGTACTGTATTGTCACTACTGTGTTTTTACCAGGGGTGTCGTGAACCTGAGGATTTAGGGCCGATTGGCTGGTGTTGTCACCACGGACTGCGCATGTTAGGATGTTTAATTTTGCCCCCGACAGAAAGCTCCATCACCTTACCGGGGGTTGAACTCAGGTCTCACTCATGAGAGCCCGACGTTTTAACCACTCGGCCAGCCATTCCTCATCACATTAGACCTATATTTTACAAACCAATCAGAACTTGATGTACGATTTGCTCAACATCATCACGCTGGTTGCCTCGGAAATCCCAGCACTTAGCTGGTACCCATTTAAGTTCCAATGCTCTGGTAACAGCAGCCGTTTCATTATGTCTTCCAGGTTTTCCTCTGAATGAAGAGTTGAGCTGAGTTTAGAATTGACATCACAGCACTCGGGGCATTCCCATAGTGCTCCGTCCTCATCTTCAGCAGCCAGTGCAGAGTTCCAATACTGATGGTACTGTATCACAATCTGGTTATATGTCAGTCCACATTTGCCTTGTCATGCATCAATTCACCAACCAGTGGTGCTGATCCAGCCAATCTGCCTGCCTGTTCATTACCCACTATGCTGGAAAAGATCCAAAGTACGCTCACTATCCATGAACTTCCCAGTGAGGCTTGCCACTCTGCTCGAAGAATCCCTGTCTTCACCTCCGAATGAAGAGTGTCTGCCAGATCCCCTAGCCAGCCGCATCTGCACCAGTCTCTGAAAGCTGTAATGAATTATTCGTGCTTTCGTATTTCATGTACACTTGCTCCCGAAGGGCCTAAACTGCACCTACCCGAGCATATACCGATATACCTGCATGTCCCCGAAAAAAGATCTAAGAAATGTTAACTACCAGGGATATCTGAAGTGACGCTTGCAAAACCATGGGTAAATATAAAAGAAAATAATCATCACAGAGTGAAGATATAAAGAAATTGCTGTTTTTCTTGATGATTTATTCACATATGACAAAGCACTATTGATTTATTCAGATATGACAAAGCCTTTGAGGCAATAACAACTTAGGAAAACTAAGTAAGAACAAATACAACATCAAACTCAATAACATATTATTACCTCTCTGGCTAGCGTTAGAAAATGCTGATTTAACTGACCATTAGAAATGATCTCTCTTAAATCATCCTTATCATCCAAGGATTCTGACAGCTCCAAGGAGATCTGCTGACGTCCAAGCATATATGCCAGCTGTTTCTTTACAAGTCTGCAAACAAAATAAAAATATAAACATAATAGGAATCCAATGAAAGTAGATCTCTATATACAACAAAAAGAAAGAGACAAATACTGTTTTTTGGCCACATAATGAGAAGAGATACACTGGAGAACATCGTGACAACTGGAAAGATCAGTGGAAAAGGGGGTAGAGGCAGACCAAGAGAGATGATGCTGAATTGGCTGACACGATGGCATGGAGGGGTATTACCAAAAGAGCTGTTTCATGCAACCAGGTATTGTGATCTGCGGAGAAGCATAAGCGCCTACTTCAATTGGCAGGGCACATTATGATGATGATGAATAGGAATTCATTTGAGATTTCAATTACATCATACAATGCACAAAAACAACAGGCTATCACATAAAATAAGGTCTATCAACTGTGCAGTCCTCTTGCTTAGAGCAGAGTGAACATGTTTCATAATTCTCAGGTACTAGGGTTCAACTGCCATGATATGAATGGTTGTTTTCTTGCCTCTTAGGCATATTCATTCTGACTTTGATGAAAACACCCAAATTTTTTTTGACTTTTATAACTTGCTTGTCGAAATGGGGGTGGAGGTGGGCGACCCCACCCCCACTTTTTTTTTTACCTCCACCTCCCCCCCCCCATCTAAAAGGTATCCGAACCTATAAAATCATTTGTACTTTTAAAAACATATCTAAAAGTAAAACCTTTAAGGACTAAACAAACAGCTTCTCCAGAAACAGTAAATAGCAACACTAGAACAACAATAGCTACTTACGGATCAGGGCACTCAAAGAAAATTTCTTCAATGAGTGGCATATCATTCAAGGCCATTGCAAACCTCAAGGCCTGAGGATACTGCTTAAACTTTCTGTACAAGTTCACGGCACATTTCAACAGAACAGTGTTTTCTGGATCCGGTACATAAGGGACGCAGCTGTTAGAAAGTTATAAAAGGTATTAACAATTAGGTTTTTATACTACAGCATTAAATATGGTAAATGTTATTTAAACAAGCTACTGCAGTGTAGTGGATAGACGCTCAGGTGCTGGCCCAAAGGTTTTGGCTTTTAACCCACATCTTCTTCATCTATTGTTATCTCACTGTTACCAAGATGTAGCCCAGTGTCGCGGCTTTCCGTATTTGCCACCACCAATGTGTCAGGTGTCCAATGTGATACTGACCAGTAGCTTCATGCGCCACTGACATAAAAAGGTTCTTTTACTATTTTTGTTTCTAACTTTTCTGTTACTTACACACCTGTGACTGTTTTTCCAATTTCTGTTTTTTTTTATTTTAAAGAATTCACACAGGCCAGGGCTAGTCAACTGGCGGCCCGCAGGCCAAATCTGGAACGCAGAGGCCTAGCAATTGGCACTCGGATCACTGCCATTTGTATTAATGACCTTTTTATGCTGGGGCTCGGCTCCCTGGCCCATGACGATCCCTATTTTAAACATTTTGGCCCCTGAGTAAACTTAGTCGAATAGCCTTGATTTAGGCAACACTTAGCTAAATTTCTAATTTTTTTATGGTGTTTTTTATTCCCACTGTCAACAGCTTTAAGAAACTCTTTTTTTTTTCAACTTTTATGTAACACAGACTTGTGGCTGCCATTCCATATTTTTTTTTATCTATTAGGTAAAATTTAGCTAAACTTATATTTCTGATGGTGGTCTTCACAGTCAACAGCTTTTAACAAACGATCAATCTTTAAACTGGTTAGGGTCAATGAACTGACAATATTCATATCACAGGTCAACAGCAAGAAATCTACTATTTGTTTCTTTCTGTGGCAGAGGTAAGCACTCTTCTCCAGCCCATATCTGAACAGCACTTTATTTGCTCCCTCATAAGCACATTTTAAAAATATTTCAGAAGGAATTAACTTAATTTTCAAAGGGTCATAAACTGGGCACCTAGGCCCATCTTATATTTGACCCTTCTAAACACTCATATTTCAAACCACAAATGCACTGTCCCAATAAAGCATATATGTTTACATAACAAAATACATAATCTCACGAAAGTCGAGTTTAAGATTAGGAAGACGTGCATCACTTTATCTTATAAATCTTTACCCTTTTTTTTAACTTTGTCAAATACTTACTCGAGCACAGGCAGACTTATAAACATACTCGAGTACAAAGTCTGCTTAGAGGTTAGTAAAAGCATACAAAATTGTATTTTATCCAATACAAATTCAACACAATCCCGATGGAGGTCCAGTTATAGATTAGGATACCTATGTGTCACTCTAAACATGTTTCCTCATCAAACACAGACAGGTTACCTTATCAAATACAGACTCTATCACTGATTGGTTAACTTTTGAAATACAAACTCTTGCATAGACAGGTTACCTTATCTAAAACAGATTCTAGCATAGACACCCTACCTTATTAAATAAAAAGAAACTATACTATAGGCAGGTTAGTTAGTTGTGTATCCTTTACAATATTTGCAGCACCAACCCCAGCCTTTTTTTTTTTTTTGCTGATGCAGTTTTTTTTCTAGGCAATTTTACATTCAGTAGAGACAAAAGCTAGCATAGGAAGGGTTAACTGTCCAAACGACAGAAATCCCTGTAAGGGTTCTGCTGAACCATTCTGGGGAGTAAAAACAGACTCACTGCCGCCCTAAAAATCATGTTGTAAAAGGTGACTAATTAGGGACTTTTCCTCCAAAGTAGGAGTGCACCTGCATGGGAATAAGGAACCAACAGTCTGCACACAAGTAAGCCAGATCTGTAAAACTGATGTGGATGCAGAACTCAAGTTCTTGAACAAAACTAAAGGCCAGATGAGTTTACTTCTGGTAAACTTTAAGAAGAAGAGGAAACTACAGGCAAGACTACAGTACAGGCAGATTACCTTGTCAAATACAGACAAACTCTAGCGTAGGCAGACTCATCAACATAATCTTGAAGGAGGTCCAGCCTTTCTATCTCCATCAGCAAATCACAAGCTTCGGCCTCTGCATTGTGCGACATGTGGTAAGGAACAATGTCCTTGGCTAGAGCTACTAGCTTGTCCCGCATCTCCTTATTGTCATCACTGACATCCTGCCATTCTTGAGCAACCTGTCCAGCCAGATGCCTACAAAAGAAAAAAAACAAAAACAAAAAAATATATGTGATTTGTATTTGAGAGCCTATTACTTAAATGAGAACACTTATAGCACAATTCTTGCCTGGCATATTTCACTGGATCTTGTTCTAACAAAACAGAGAAATATACAAGGCAATAATTTATGCAATGTTATGTTTGTGTCACTAGTTTTTAAATATATTATTTATTTATCATTTACTTTTTAAAATGCCCGGATTTTTTAAAAAAAGGAATGTATTCACAGTTCAGAAAAAATACAAGTAAACACTTAGAAAGACTTTTGGCACTGATCAGGAAAATTATAAAAATTACTTTCCAAGACTTCCTGGTAGTTAGATAACTCCATGGATTGTAGTTAAAGCTACCTGCACATTCTTTACAGCAGTGGTTTTTAACCTTTCTTCAGGTTGCGCCCCATCACCCCACCTTTCGTCGGAATATATGGAAATACCCCTCTCCCCCCAGCTTTAAAACAACGAACTGAGATTAGAAAAAGTAGGACTAAAGGAGGCGTCATGTAGATACAATACGCCAGAATGTGTTATAATCTCTAATAAATGTTATCACATTATTTAGACTGTTAAAGGTAGATGCTTACGAAAACAAAAACATCTTTGGCTTTTCTGTTTTATAAAAAGTTTTTAAAATATTTTATTTATAATCCCATTGACAATTTTATTTTAGTAAATAGATTATTACTAGTAGAAATGATTTTAATTTAGAAACACTGCTTTCAAATTTTCCAGGTTTAAAACCATTTCTTTTAAAAATTTCATAAGACAACCACAGCATTTGTTGTTGGGGTTTTACGAAGTGATTTAATATTTGGTAATTTTTCCACTGCTTTCTCAACTCTTTCAGTCCCAAGGAATGCATCATACGTTCACTGGTTTCTAACCAGAAGCCCAATAAATGCAAAATGTGTCGATTTAGCGTCTCTCTTTGACTAACCCTTGGGCATCTGATGCTTAACCACCTGGGACTCAAAGAGTTAACAATCAACCCGCCCAGCTCTCTATCGTAGTTGGCTAAACCGGAGACAGGAAAGCCACATTTTCTCCCAGATTTACGGTATTTACAATGTAATCAAGGCCGAAAGGTTGCGATATCCATAATACTGAGCCTAAGGGTTAACAACTCATGGCTTCTGGATACTAAAAAAAAAAACAATCAACCCATATACTCTTGTCAAATAACACAAACCAGTCTGCTGTCTGACCATCTGCAGCTGAATCAAACCCGGTGTCTCAGAATTTGAAAACTGTTCATAATCTAGTTTTGGGGATTATAAGAGTCTGGAAACAAGACTTACATCCACCAGAGTTTGGGACATTGTTATCGTCTTCTTTGTAATATCACATATTTTTAAGGCTTTAAAAAACCAGAAACAATAATGACCTAATATATTCTATGACAATATTCACATAACTGTGAAACAAAATATTAAACTGGCAATTACAAATAACATCACTTACCTGACATACTCATGACCCCATGAACCGATCTCCTCCTTTGAGCCTAAAAGCCTGTATTTAAGGCTATCCCTTCCCTCACTCATGGTCATGCCTAGAACAGACACTATGTCAGCACAGAATCTCTGTAACAATAGTAATATTTGTTACACACATGAGGGACACATTTTACCAAGATCTTTCACATGAACTTGACTCTCAAGCTTTCCTGCAGCAGACAATTCACCATAGGTTTCTGGTGTTTCCAAAGATAAAATAATACTTTTGCTGTCTTCTGTCACAGACAGCTGTTACATTAACTCTTATATCTTAACCCTTTCGCTGCTATGGACGAGATAACTCGTCTGCCCGGCAGACTGCTAAAGACGAGATAACTCGGCTGCAATTTTCTGTGCCCTCACTGCTAAGGACGAGATATCTCGTTCTGGACATTTGTTTACAGATTGCCAATGACAGTAATTCTTAGGGGTGAAATAGCAATACACATTAACTTAATCTGATCAAACTGACCCGTTTACATACAATTAAAACCCTTATCAAGTGAGTTTAAGCGTATTTAGATGCATTTCACGTTATCCTGTTTCTTTGTTACCATAGAAGCATTGTCGGTGATCGGTAATTTTTTTGCCCTGAAATATATTTCTGGTTTTGCGTTAGTCTAATTTTTTTTTAAAATACCAAATAACAAGAACATTTGTTTAAATACAGAAGAATTAATTATTTTCTTTTAAGGAGTAGTAGTAAGGATCACTTTGAAACGTGTGAGTTATAAGAGCTGGGTTATCTTCGCGGCACGCCGGCGGACACGTGTACTTCTGGCTGTGAACAAGACTGACCAGTGACCATATGACCTAGCTATCTACATCAACTGGATTTGAAACGGATCCAAAATAATCAAAAAAAAAAAAAGATATGGTCACGTACTGACGTGATGATTAATATTAATGTTAATTATATACTATACAACTGACATAAATGTGTTTGTCTATTAAAGCGTACAATACTGGTCTTTTTTTAAATTCATAGTTTCATATGAATTTCTAGTGTAGTTGGTATCACGTCTGCCTTACAACCGAAAGGTCCAGCGTTCAACCCCTACGCGCCTTTTTTTTTTTGTTTTTTTAAATTAATTATTTTAAATGCAAATTTTAAATTTAAGCTGTTAGCATTTTCGGCAACAGATAACCAAAGTAATAATTAATTAAACATCCTGTCACGTGCGTTCAGGTGGATTTAGCTGCTTTACACGTTATGTGAAGCGTGGTTGGTGTACTGTGCACATTTATTATATAAATGTTGTTGTGGGGGAAAAACACACCTGTTGCCGAATTTCACTTAATATTAGTAAGAGAAATTCTACATAAATATTGCAAGGAAAAGAGAAAAAGTGTAGGAGGACAAAAAAGTGAAGATCTGCCACTTCGTTTAGTACAAAGGCATTTCCCTTCAATAATAGAGTCCGTAACATCGCAGAAAAAAATCCCAACCAGAAAGTGTGTGGTATGCGCAAAAAGCAAAAAACGACGGAAAACCAGATACATGTGAAAGGACTGTGATTTGGCATTGTGTGTCGCACCTTGTTTTGAAATATTTCACACACAAAGATATTATTAATAATAATAAAAACCATGTATTTGCTTACTAAAGTGTTTTGTGTTTGCTTTGTAAGTTTGTAGTGTTTTCTTTTTGTTAATGAGTTTTCACGGCGTAGAAATAGCGCGTCTGACTTGTCAGCGCAAAGTTCAACCACACGCCTTCAACGATTTTTTATTTTAGGTGTACGATTTTTACCCCGTGCCGCAAGCGCGTCTTCTGCTTTTGAAGGAAAAAACGGTATTCAGCACAGGGGAAAAGATTAGCTCTCGCCTGGCTTAGCACAGTGGTTACGTTGGCTGGCGGAGGGCGCAGCAGCGAAAGGGTTAATTATTACTTTAGTCCAGTGCTTCCCAAACTTTTCTTAGTCGCAGCGCATTTCTTCAATTAAAATGTTTCCCTGTGCCCTAACCTACGTAAAAGTATGACTATTCGTATGTAAGAGATCAAAACAAATAAAACGTGTATCTTCAAATATTTTGCGGCTCCCCGGCGCAGTTTGGGAATCACTGCTTTAGTCACTTCTGTATCAGATTGTCTCTCCTGAACCAACTCAGACCTCAGAATATATTGTTGTAAAGATCTACATGTTGGGAAAATAAGGAGCCAAAAGAACAAGTGCATGGAATTAAACTAAAAGAGGTGATACACACAGGGTGAATAGTTTGGGTCAACATTTCCCAGAATTTATATGAAAACACTATACTCTTCAACAGCAACTTTTTTTTCCCATCCTGTTCATGTTCCATTTATAACAAACAACAATACTGCAAAGGAAAGGGGTTGTGTGGTATCGCGTCATGGTGTTCACCTCTAGTGCTAAAGGTTTTGGGTTTAATCCCCGATAAGGGTTGGGATTTTTTCACGTGGACTTGGGACTTCTAGTAATTCCCCCATGGTCTCTGGGTAGTGAGATTGGACGCCTGTGTGCATTGTTGCACAAGTAAAAAAAATCCCTGCACAGTTGGAAATCGAAAATAGTAGCTTAACGGTGCCACCCGGACAAAATTTTAAGTTAGAAATCTACCCAAAGTATTTCAGGATCCTCACCGGTGCTACAGAGCCTGTGCACTGTGCTGAGCTTCTTTGGACTCAGGCTTAAGTTAGAAGAAGAAAAGATCACTTATGGGTTACTACCAGTGTGCGGTGATGATCTGTTGTAAAAAAAAAAAAAAAAAAAAAAAAAACATGAACACTGCAAAGGGAAATCTGAACACAGCTGACCCTTGAATTTCAGAAAAGATATTAGTGGTGCAGTGATTTTGGTCTCAAGCATGAGGGAAAGTTAAGACCTTTGTACAGCATCTAAGGGGATATACCAATATCTAACCCCAAGTGCCAGCATGCTCTGTGCCAGTTTTATGGAACCTCATGCAACTTTGTCTATGAGGACAGTCTGTCATGCTCAGGAAGGGAACAGCAAATTGTATAAAGGTCACCAAAACCTCAGGTATGTGGACTGCTTCCTGATGGCCCTTAGAGGTGATCCTGAGATGAGTGAGAGGCCCGATATTATACTTCTCCTTAGCGTTCACCAGCTGTAAATTCCGATAGAAAGTCCCTGTTGTTTATCCACTTCTAGATTTTAGTTTTGTCCCGGAACTTGAATTTTATGCGCACACCCGTTTCACTGTTGGTTCCTCACCTCTCTGACAGGCAATCTGATTTTGGATTAATATCAATGATTAGTAGGTTTTTTAAAGAACATGCGTTTTAGGGAAGTGGTTCTATTCTTTATCTACCCCCCCCCCCATTCCCACGGGGAGCTCAAAATACAGAAAAGAGATTTAACAATTATTGCAGGACAAAAAGCTCATACATTGCCCAAAAAGACTAAAGCAAATGTTAAATCAGACAACAAATGCTTTAAGAAGTAAGACACGTCAACAAAAAGATAAAAATATTGCAGCAATGCTATAAACAGAGATAACACAACCACATTGATCCACTTGACCTAAACTTTTAATGGAAAAGAAGTAAGTTTAACAGCTGGAAAATGATTTGTTGAAACAAAAACATGTGGAACATACGTAAACAATGCAAATTACCTGTGTGTTTGAGTCTTTAATGGTTTCATAAATTCCCTTAAGTGTATCATAGTGAACTCTGAGGAATTTCAATGGCTTTGGCACTGACGTCATAGATGTGGTAGATGCCCTTATCAACGTCCGTAGACTTTCTAAAGCTGCAGCATACAACTTCTGATTCGGCTCTGACAGCCGTTCCACCAGCATATTCAACTCATCTTGGAGCAGTTTGTCTTCTTCTGACTGCATAAAAAATATGTAAATAAGTGAGTGTTTATGAACATGAACATACACATATGTGTTTGTACTACATATGCTACGTGGCTCTGAACACCAAAAATCCACAGAATTCACAATTTTTTTAGACACGGTTTTATCTCAAGGTATGTGGTGTATGTGCCATGCTATTAATGTCAAACATGGATACTGTCTTCAGAAGACAGAAGGAAAATGGTTACAAAAGAAATGAAATATTTAGGGACTATGCTAGGTGTAAAAAGGAACAATCAACTTTGGAATGATGATATCAGGGGGGGAGTCAGCACATAACAAAAAATCCACAGAATTCACATTTTTTAGACATGGTTTTATCTCAGTGTAAGATGTGTCCTGCTTTTAATGCCAACACGCGGACACTGTCTTCAGAAGACAGATGGAAAATAGTCACAACAGAAATGAAATATTTAGGGATTATGCTAGGTCACTGCCTTCTCTGGAGCTGGCCGTGGCTAGGTGTAAAGAGGAAAGATCAACTTTGAAATAATGATATCAGGAGGATAGTCAGCACAGAACCAATACTGAATTTCATAGGCAGAAAATAAATCACATGGTTTGGCCATGTAACAAGATTGGCATCAGACAGGGCACCACAAAGAGCAATGTTATACAGATACAGTGACTACTTAATGCAATTAAGAGCATCGTGTCACCAATAACTACTTGATGAAATTAAGAGCATTGTATCACCAATAAGCTCACATTTAAACCAACTGATTCTATTTAATAAGGTATTCAAAGGAACTAGTTACATTTCCACCCCAAACAGAAACTGGCTGGCCTTCATACCCGCTAGTCTATATTACAGGGGTGTCTCGTTGTGTTGTCTTTGATGCTTTGAGCTTTCTATATTGCGCCTTGTGTGAGCGACCAGCAATACAGTGTGTTTTACTTGTCCTTGTGAGTAACCTGCGACATTACGAATATTATAGCCTTCTCAAACTTTAAATATGACAAGAATTTACTTTAAACCAGGGACGTAGGCTGCAGTCTCTAGTGGGACATAGGATGAAGCTGTAGGGAAGGCGTTAAAGCCAGATCTAGATGTTCTGGGGTAGTTAGAAGCGGTCACAGCGTGTAATATAGAATAGCGACATCGGCGGTGACAGCATCACAAAGATAAGTGGCTATCCTCTGAATAACGGGCACATATTATGGCGGCTGCAAAAACACCCTAACAGGGCCTGCCACGTGTCAACTGCGCACTTCCAGCGACTACCGCCACCGCCGCGAGTATCCCCCAAGCCGCTCACGCTGCGTGGACTGGGGCTAAACTAGATGGCTGGGACTCACAAGCAAAGCTGCAGGAGATGTCGAAGCTGCTGCTCGTGAGTCCCAGCCATCTAGTTTAGCCCCAATCCACGCCGCAGGATACTCTTGGCGGTGGCGGTAGTTGCTGGAAAACCGCAAATTAGGTTGCCAGAAGTGCGCAATTGACAGGTGACTGATTCCCTGTTTTTAGCCGCATAATATGTGCCCGTTATTCTGAGGATAGCCAGACAAGCTAATGTGACACCCCTGTAACATAAACACGCCTGTGAAAGGTCACCAAACATGAAAGAAAAGTAAACCAGTGTTTGTTTAGGGCAGAAAATGTTACTAGTACCTATTCAAATTAAATTATTTTTCTTTAATTATTTTTGATGAAGTTGATAGAACGACTTGGTATCAGTTGGTTCAGGGCCTATGCGGCGGAAAGGCAGAAGAAGAAGAATATTAAATTACATAAATACAAAAACAATTAGATGAAAATTTAACCTCACTTTATTGCTGAGAATAGTCGTGTGTCTACTACTTACTACTAGTAGTAAGTGTAGTATATATACCAAGAGTAGTAGTAGTAGTAGTACTAGTAGTAGTAGTACCTGAAAAAAAAAGGAGGCCAAGAAGATGTTTTCTTAGCTTGATTGATTGCTCGATGCCAGTGATACTGCCTATACCCCTACATATTTTTTGCTGATGGAGTCACTGTAATTTCAGTTATAGCAGTTGAAACAGCACACGATAATCCTGTTTTTTTGCTTATTAATTTTGATCACAAGGATGATGACCATGACGTGCGATTTTTGAATCAAGGCGCAGAACCAAGGGGCACCCAAGTGAAAATAACGCTACTGGCTACAAAGTTATTTTACAATCATGTACCGTTACGTACAACTAAAACATAAATAAACTTACCAAATCCTGGTCGGCCTTAGATTCGCCCTTTTTTTCAGTATCCTTTGCATCAGATTTTTCATCTTTGCTTTTCTCGACAGCTTTGGTATCCGCCATATTGGTTTGTTAGTCTCGGAGTGACTAGCCGCCGATGACCGGTTTCTCTAACTCCGTGTATAAACGAGTTCTCTATGCCTGGTTGTTCATTAATTAGGTTAACTACACACTATAAAGAATAAAAGGTACCTTTCCCGCGACTTTAGGCGTATTGGGAATATAGGGCTAGAGTTAGATTTGTATTGACCAATCGGCACTTGGTGAGTGATGTGGCCAGCATCACGCCGGCCGCCTTTACTTCCCAGGACGGCACCTAGTACCCACTCAAGTCTGGGTCGACCTGACACCACAGAATAGAAAAAAAAAAATAAGATAGCAAAGAAAACCCTCCTCGGTATGTCAGGTCATCTAGCCAGTTGAACAAGGAGCAAGTCTGGAATTTTTGTTTTCCACGTATCGAATTGGTTTCTTACATGTTTCATATTACTGATTTCATTAATTTGATTTGATTCAAGAACCCATAAGCGCTCCGTCCCCATCTTCAGCAGCCAGCGAAGAGTTCCGATACTAATGGTGCTGTTTCAAATTACTCAAATTAGATACAACGGTCCACGGTTGTGTGTGTGTGTGTGGGGAGGGGGTGTGCGGGTGTGTGAGTGAGTATGTGTTTGTGTACGTTATTAAGAGCATGGATGGATTCTAGACCTTAGGGACGACTGGTAAGATTTAGCAGAAAAGGGAAAGGCAAACAGATGAATATTTGGATGACTACCCAAATAGAGGGGTCCTTACACGAACACTGATCTCATCCCTGATTCTAGTGATCGTATGAGATGACGATACATGACACCCTACGCTTATCGACATAGAACATGATGATGATTTAAATCATCAGAAAGGCCTTGGTGCTTTATTAATATCCTACCCCAAACAGGGGAAATCTTCAGGGGGTGGTAGATAGGTTGCATGCAGTCGTGGGACCAAGGCTGCACTCTCTCGTGGGACATAGGTGGGATGAGGTTAAGGCCAGTTCTAGATGTTTTGGGGTCGTTAAAAGCATCAGAAAGCCGGGAAACCCAGTCATACCACCCTCTATAATGTTGGACTGTCCTGTGACGTCATCTGGGGGTAGGATATTAATAAAACACCGCATAGTATCAGGAATCTAGAAAATGATAAATGTCGACACTCTTCATGATTTAGGGGATGCTCATAAACAAAATATTTAACTCTTAAACTGAAATCATATTATGAAATCGATCATATTAAACACCATAACGATTTGGAATTAAGTTGTCATTTTCTTCTTTGCGTTCACTCCCGTGGAAAGTTATAGTTGTTCGTCCACTTCTGGACCTTAGTCCTGTTCCAGTACCTGAATGTTGCATGCATATCAATTTCACAGATCTGGATTATATGTACACAGATTGTCGGGTCGTTGCCTCTCCGGCAGATGCTTTCCGACTTGGAAGGAAACCCCAAATTAGTCGACTCTTATGACATGCTTGTTGGGAAGGCAGTGGGTCTATTCTTGTTTACACCGCAATGGGGTCCTGGAACCCACACCTGGATTTGGAAAGAACAATAAATTGGCTAGGGTTCATGTTTCATGGGAGACGAGACAGGGGGCGGCTACCACACTAGTGGACACATGACATTAATGGCACCTGGGTATAAAAGTAAAGCTTAAATGCGACCTAATGGCTTTATAGTGTCAAATGGATACAGCGACATTATGCACATGATATGCAGATGATGCTGGCTCATGTATGTTAGTCATTTCCTGTATACATTTCTCTCTATGCCAGAATGGTAAACTTTAATTTCCTCCATCTTGATCTTTATCTGTTTCTCCTCCACAGTGCTCCTTTAAGCACATAAATAAATTGGGTAGTTTGCTTATGAGGAGCCAATATATGACAGTGTAATGATATCAAAGATCACTTTTTAAAATCCTCAAAGATCACCACCACCACCACCACCATCATCATCAAGTGCCTTGCCTGCTGGCGTAAGCGTCCATGCATCTCCACCGATCTCTGTCCTGGGTGTTCTGGTTCAATTCCACTGATGACTCTGTAGCACTGGTGAGGATCCTGAAATAATTTGGGCAGTTTTTTAACTCTAAATTTTGCCTGGGCAGCGACGTTAGGCTACTCTTTTCGATTTCCAAATGCCAAGGGATTTTTTTTTTACGTGCGCAACAATGCACACGGGCTTCCGATCTCACTATCCAGAGGCCAGGGGGAATGACTAGATGTCTAAGTCCACGTGAAAAAATTCCAGCCCTTACAGGGGATTGAATCCGGAACCTCTAGCACTCGAGGCGGACACCATGCCTAGAGACCACGCAGCCCCCTCGTGTTTGAAAGACACTCAGTGTTGCCACTTTTTTTTTTTTTTTTGACAAAAAACATCCAAAACGGAGTCAAAAAATATCAAAACACATCTAAATTTGCGTGGAAAACATCTAGAAAAACATCCGAATGGAAAGAGTCACAAATTACATAGCTATTGATATGACTTATCCCGTAGAATCATGTTCGCATCTTCACTGATTTCTGCCTCACACAATCCACAGGATAAACTTAGCTTGGGTGATGAAGTTGAAGCTTCAGATCTAAAATGACACTGGTATGCTTTAGCTGTTCCAATTTATTTTAATACACCATTAGGGAGCTGATAAGTGGAAAAGCATTTTCCTACTCTCATCAGGGCGAATTTTATTGTCAAGATTTGATATAATTCATAGCACTGAAAAAAACAACTCTTTCTACGTCTGCATTTGAGTGGGGTAGTATCAGAACTTTCAGTGGTGTGGAACTATCATTCAAGGCTGTATATAATGTATTGTATTGCTGTTGTCTGACAAATTATTTGTATATGTGTTTCAGCAATAAGGTATTCCCCATTCATTGGTAAACATTCAGTTGAAGCATGTGATAATGCTATCTGCAATGAATGACACATACATTTTATAAGTACTACCGATTCGATAGCTTCAACTTGGCATAAACGCCATTGTGTATACCAACCATCACCGAGGCATTATTGGTACCAATTGCAGCCAAATTCTTCAAGTCTAACTGTTTGCTGGTTAAAAATTTCTTCAGTTCATGAACTATACTTTCTGCATCACGCTAGTCCAAGATATGTAGAAACTACTTTGTCTGTATTGTTGCTGTAATACATAATACACACACCAAGCACATTCAGTACCGAAATATCATTTGATTCGTCTAATAATAAACTATAATTATTTGTAGAAATATCACTGATCAAATCGTTTTCGAAGTGAGAAAATAAAGTATTTCTTATAATATGTGTACCCTTGCTGCGATGCAGTTTCACATCCTCTATAACTTTACTGTCGGAAATAGTATTTTTAAACAAATGAATCAAATGGTCACAGTTTGAAATTGCACAGTGACAACTTAAAAACATTGCAACCGATCCTTCAACTTTTGATGATTCATTTATCAGTGTAGTTCTGAAAACAGATGTCAGCGGTGTAATATCTTTGAATGGAAGTGAAAGCCACATATGAAGGTGAGCAGTCATTTTTTTTAAATCACATGAAAAATAAACACAAAGTCAGCACAGTGAGGATACGGTTGAAACAAACTAAGTATGATTTACGCGCGCTTTCAATTAATCAGTATTGGGGCTGCCAGATATTTGAGCGTTGACCTCAGTGAGAGTTCAAAGTTTAAATAATCGCAGTTGTCACAATGTACGTACACCAATAGTGTAGCAAATATTGTACACAGTATTTATTCAACTAACACTGAAAGAAAAAAAAAAATCTTTAAAATATCTAACTCCAAATGAAAAACATCTAGATAAACATCTGCCATCTAAACGTCAAAAACACCATCGAAATGCAAAAAAAAAAAACGATCTAAATCTGGATGTAAAACATCCAAAGTGGCAACACTGGACTGACTACTGTCAAAACTAATTAACAGATATTTTAATGAATTATCTCTCTTTGTATTAATTCCACTTTTTGTTATGTTTGTCAACACACATCTCTTCTTCTTCTCCTGCTGTCGTCTCACTGAAATCAGTTGTAGCCCAAAATTGTGGTTTTCTGTATTTGTCTTGCGCCCCTAGGGTGGCTTAAGTGATGAATTTGTTAACATTTTTGCAGGTTTCTTTTACACTATTTATCCATCTCTTTCTCGGTCTTCCTCCCTCTTTCTTTCCAGATGTTCTACTGTAAAAAATCTCACATGCAGTCTGGTCTAGCTGCATTCTCTCTAGATGGCTGAAATATTTCATTCTTTGTCAACATAATCCAGACATGGTCTTATTTCAACTTTCCCTCTAATGCTGGTATTCGTAACCCGGTCTCACCTCTAACAATTCTATATATTTAAAAAAAAAAAAAAAAAAAAACTTTACAGCGGGAGCATGCACAACAGGAGCCTACCGGTCCACAGTAGGCGGCCTCCCTTCAACGATCGTTTCGGCCCGTTCAACCTCTAGACCAGTGGTCCTCAACCCTTTTGTGGGTCGAACTAGCCTTTTACAGGAGTCGCTTAAACTCATCGGAAAACCCATATTCACTGAAGTTATGAAGTAACAACGAACATTATTTATGGTTGGAGGTCACCACAACATGAGGAACTGCATTTACAGGTCGACGCATTAGAAAGGCTGAGAACCACTGCCCTAGACAATCTCGGAAAGGGGTGTGGGAAGACATTGGTCATGACTCACAGGCCTCAGACATCACCTGCTGCACAGATCGGACAATCGGACAAGACGTTATGGTGATTGCAATAGGTACTGAGGTTGTGGTGATATATTGTCGTTGCGGTAGAAAATAAAGCGCCAGAGTGACAAAGAGTGGGTTCCTCGTACATACTTTGGTAACAATCAGTAGTAAAGGCAGGCCTTGGTGGGACAACTCTGGCTTTATAGGTTTAAAACTTGTTTTCTACTAGACGCTCGGACCAGTCTACCGAGGCATGTCCCCCACATCGTTACGCTGTGTCCACAATCAGCTCGAAGTATTTCAGCAGCTTCGCCCAGCTGCTTAAGTGTCCGATTAC